AAATTGTCATTTTATCAAAAAATGTGGTTTTATGGGATCGAAAAATGTAGTTTTATGGGATCGAATATTGTAGTTTTATCGAACAATGGGGTTTTATGGGATCGAAAAATGTGGTTTTATGGGATCTGAAAATGTGGTTTTATGGGATCGGGATGAGAAAATGTGGTTTTTATGGGATCAAAAAATGTGGTTTTATGGGATCGAAAAATGTGGTTTTATGGGATCGAAAAATGTGGTTTTATGGGATCGAAAAATGTGGTTTTATGGGATCGAAAAATGTGGTTTTATCGAAAAATGTGGTTTTATGGGATCGAAAAATGTGGTTTTATCGAAAAATGTGATTTTATGGGATCTGAAAATGTGGTTTTATGGGATCGAAAAATGTGGTTTTATGGGATCGAAAAATGTGGTTTTATCAAAAAATGTGGTTTTATGGGATCGAAAAATGTAGTTTTATCGAAAAATGTGGTTTATGGGATCGAAAAATGTCATTTTATCAAAAAATGTGGTTTTATGGGATCGAAAAATGTAGTTTTATCGAAAAATGTGGTTTTATGGGATCGAAAAATGTGGTTTTATGGGATCTGAAAATATGGTTTTATGGAATCAAAAATGGTTTATGGGATCGAAAAATGTGGTTTTATGGGATCAGGATCGGAAAATGTGGTTTTATGGGATTGGGATGAGAAAATGTGGCTTTTATGGGATCAAAAATGTGGTTTTATGGGATCGAAAAATGTGGTTTTATGGGATCGAAAATGTGGTTTTATGGAATCAAAAAATGTGGTTTTATGGGATCGAAAAATGTGGTTTTATTGGATCAAAAATGTGGTTTTATGGGATCAAAAATGTGGTTTTATGGGATTGAAAAAGGTGGTTTTATGGGATCGAAAATGTGGTTTTATGGGATCGAAAAATGTGGTTTTATCGAAAAATGTGGTTTTATGGGATCAAAAATGTGGTTTTATCGAAAAATGTGGTTTATGGGATCAAAAATGTGGTTTTATGGGATCGAAAAATGTGGTTTTATGGGATCAAAAATGTAGTTTTATGGGATCGAAAAATGTGGTTTTATGGGATCGAAAAATGTGATTTTATGGGATCAAAAAATGTGGTTTTATCGAAAAATGTGGTTTTATGGGATCGAAAAATGTGGTTTTATGGGATCGAAAAATGTGGTTTTATCGAAAAATGTGGTTTTATGGGATCGAAAAATGTGTTTTATCGAAAAATGTGGTTTTATGGGATCGAAAAATGTGGTTTTATGGGATCAAAAATGTGGTTTTATGGGATTGAAAAAGGTGGTTTTATGGGATCGAAAATGTGGTTTTATGGAATCAAAAAATGTGGTTTTATGGGATCGAAAAATGTGGTTTAATGGGATCAAAAAATGTGGTTTTATGGGAT